GGTCTAGCAATAGACAAATCAATTTTGAGGTAGCCATTTCAGTGAAGTAGTATGTTGGTGTTAAGTAGCTGTTAACATGAAAAGGTGTTCACTTTAATTTGAAAAGGTATTTATGGATGAGTATGTATAGAAATATATGTACAGCTCAAGTGTACTGAAAACAGTGGCTGTCTGTAGTTGGTAAAATTATGGATTGTTTTTTTCTTTGATAGGATGTGGTATTCACTGAAAAATATTGTAACAGCTTTTTGAGACCCCAAGCAATTCAGCCATATAAAGTGTATAATTCAGTAGGTCTTAAGTGTATCCAGACAGTAGTGCAACCATTACCACAACTTTAGAACATTGTCATCACCCCAAAAAGAAGCCCTGTATCCATTAACAGATACATCCCATTTATCCCCAGTTCTCCCTCTGTCTTGCTGTAGACAACTGCTTCACTACCTGTCCGTTTGGGCATTTCATATAAATGAAAGTATACAACATGTGGTCTCAGTGAGTAGCTTTTTTCACTTTAGCATAATGTTTTCAAGGTTCATCTATAGTTCAGCATGTGATAGTGCTTCACCTTTTATTACCAAGTAATCTATTATATTGGTCTATTATATTTTATTTATCCATTCATCAATTGATAGACATTGGGGTTTCTAGTTTTGAATGTTATGAATAATGTTATGAATATTGGTGTACAAATTTTCATGTGGACATGCTTTCATTTCTGTAGGGGTGGAATTCTTGGGTCAAATTCTTAGTAACTTAACTTCATGTGTAATATTTTGAGGAACTGCCAGGCTTTTCAAGTCAGCTGTGTACCATTTTACATTCCCAACAGCAATATATGAGGATTTCAATTTCTTCGTGTCTTTGCCAAGACTTGTTATTATCAGTCTTTTTTTTTTTTTGTATCATTAATCTACAATTACATGAGCAACATTATGGTTACTAGACTCCCCCCATCATCGAGTCCCCCCCACATACCCCATTACAGTCACTGTCCATCAGAGTAGTAAGATGCTATACAGTCATTACTTGTCTTCTCTGTGTTGTACAACCCTCCTCGTGCCTCCCCCCCCCACGTTATGTCTGTATTAGTCTTTTATATTAGAGTATCCTATTGGATGTGAGGGTAGTTTATCTTACTGTGTTTTGCTTTAGATTCCACTGGTAAGTAATATTGAGCATCTTTTCATGTGTGAATTTTTTTTAATATTCTGTATGTAACATGAATTACTTTACTTTGTAAAGGTCTCAGTTGGAAAGACATAGTTACTTAATTTTTGGTATATTGATAAAGATGTAAACTTAAGGATGACTTACAATGTGAAAATAAAGAATAACAAAATAGTAGAAAATAGAGCTTGAAAACGTCAATCTGTTTCAATTTAGTGCGGTGGGAGAACCTTTAAAAAAACCTATCTAGCAAAATTAAAAATGAAGGCTAGCCCAAGTATAATAAAAAGTTATGTGTAAAGTGAGGTGGCTATGAATAAGACCAAATATAAGTGGTTACGTTATGTGAATAGAATTCTATTAAGACTTTTAGATTGGATTAATAAATAATCTAGCCGTGTCTTACTTTGTGAGACAAGACTTAAACAAGACATGACCATGTAACAATATAACAGTCACAAAGAAACAAGAATCTGCTGTCTGGTAAAACTGGGATTTAAAGTCAAAGCAAGAACAGGAGAGAAGGGTACAGGCAGTCCTTTGCTCTTCTTAGTTCCAGTGTGCATGAATTTTACTACAGTTTGTTAAATAACACCATTCCACCAACAACATGGTTCAAATATCACTTACCCTGGAATTTTCACTGTAATTGCATAAACTATAAAATTTGCTACTAGCTCTTCAGTCCACAAATCAAGAAACAAAAAACAGATGCATAGCATGTCACTTTTTTTCAGTCTCTTGGTGATTGGTCATTGTGCATCTGTTTCTCAGTTGAGGTATAGACAGCATAATATATAGTGTAATATATAGTGGTTTGTTGCCTCTTTGTCTCTCAATGATATACTCACTCAAGGCTACATTAAAAATAGAATAAATAGGGAATTAACCAACAAAGATGAAAGTGCCGCAAAGAAAAACGAATAATGCTAGAAGTGAAATTTGAATCTAATGTAAGTAGGGTTGTAGAATAGCTAACCTTGTGAATGTTGACATGCTACATTTGGAGAGATTCAATAATACAGCCAGAGAAATTTAGTGAAGGCAAGCTTATCAACATAAATGAGGAAAGTGGTTGTAATTAAAAGGATGAAGATGTCTCAGAGGAAGTATGCCAACAAAAAACCGTGAAGGTTATTTCAAAACATTGAAAGTGCAAAGGGATAGAATGTTCGAAGCTTATCAGACTTAAAAAGGAGTATGACAACTCAAGGCAGAAAATATGCTTATTCTGTATCATCAGCCATATGGTAAGAAGACAAGCACTGTTCAAACTATTCTCCATAAGATTTTTATAAAGTAACAGAACATTTTAATCTCAATATTTCTAATATTGTAAATTACAGTGTATTAAGTATTAGTTTCACTATTTTTTTCATTTCTTTACATACTAATAGAGTGGTTAATGTTTTGACAGTTTTTAAAAGTTAAGAACATTCATCTTTTTTCTCATTGCATGGCCATTTTTATGGTCTCTCATGCAAAGTGAGATCTGCCTGTTTTGAGAAAAGAAAAATCTATAAATAAATAAATAAGATAGTAATAAAGTAAATGTAATATAATAGCAATTTAAAATATATTTAATGTTTATATTAAAATATAAAATAAATGATACTAATAAATAATACAAAAATAATCCATGTAAGTTTGACTGTCAGACCTTTGTACACTAAATAACATCATGGTAGAATAGTAGAACCAATGAATGACTTACATTTAGAGTCATATCTAAAACACCACCCATGTTTGAGATTTTAAAGCATTTTTCAGTAATTTTACTAAGTATATAAGGTCCCTTCACTTCTTGAAGTTACTGATGTCACCAATTTTGAGCCTTTTGGGGATTTTAAACTATAAATGAGGGTGCTGACTTTCTACACTGCTACTTAGGATCAAGCTTTTTGTCTTTTTCCCAGCTTTAACATCCTGTTGATATTGAATGTTTTGTCATTTTGCCCTTATAGTGTTTTTTTTGTGGGGAGAGAACTATGTTGAGTTGCTTTGTTCTAGCTAGAAGTATATTTTATCATTGCTGGAGGTTTAACTCAAGTCATTTACTTGGAATATGGAACCAATTACATAGGAAGGATTGTTTGACTATTACTAAATGTCTTAATTTTTCCAATATGAGATTATGGTTAGGAATGAATGAATCCTACTAAAAAGTATGAATTTCTGAATCAAATGAGATAATGATGATATAAGTATGTCTTGATGTGGTTTTAAGATACATGAATACAATGAATTCCTACATTATAGATTTTAAGTAATAAAGCTGATTTTTATATGCTGATTATATTTAGAGTTCTTGAGACTAATCAAAATTTTATTTTAAAGCCTTTTAAAATACTCTAACTGGCATGTTAACTATACTCATTAGGTCCCTAATTGTTAAAGAATTTTAGCAGATAAGGAATTTGATATATATCTAATTACTAATAATCTTAAATTATAGCACATTTCAGAGTAAGTGAGTAGTAATTCGGTTTTCCTCTTACTTTGGAGAATATGTGTAATTAAACCAACCCTTATAGCAAAAAACACATATGTATTGTACATCTACCTTTATAGAATTGACAGACTTCTACAGGACTGACATAGGGAAATATAAGGGGTCTGTTCTGGAGAACATATCTAAATGTGTATGTTTTTTCTCATCCTTCACAAATTCCATATTTGTGAATTCACCTCACTAAAATTTATATGTAATCTGAAATCAATACTTGTGATACATCTGTGGTCATATCTATATGCAATATGGCAAAAAGTATGAATAACTTGATGTACACATTCACAGCTGAGGCTGAATATGGCCTCCTTTGCCTTGTTTCAGCACTCAGTGCAAACTCATTTTTTTGCAGCCTGTGTAGTACTGTGATTTTTGCATTTTTGTGCATTTTGACCGTCATTTTGCTATTTCTAATAGCCCCCAAATGTAGCTCTAAAGTGCTGTTTAGTGTTTTAAGTTCAAGAAAGCTGTGATGTGCCTTACGGAGAATGTAATGAATTATATAAGTGTTTGGCTGTGAGTGCAATCTTAATGAATTACCAATATATATTAAATAAGGTGACTTTAAACAGAAATGCACATAAAACAAGGTTATCTATTGTTTGGCTGATGAAAATGCTGTGATCAGAGGCTTGCAGGAACCTATCCTGTAAAGCCCCTGGAGCAGTGGTGCAGGATTCACTAACTCAGTGTTCACAGTGACTTTATAGAACATAATTACTGTGAGTATAAGAATTAACTATACTATATATACATGTGTATCTGAATGGACAAATGAGCCAGTTAGAACACCTGATTCCCTCATAGAATAAATAAAATTCCTAACACAAATTCATTCTAAATATTTATAAATATATATACAAATACAAAAAATAGATACATATATGTATGTATATTGGCAGTGTTTTATGAGTTGTATAATATACCAAAGTATTTTGAAATAAAATTACATTTCAAGTGCCTTTAAATGTATTGATCAATGCAACTATGTCGATTTCTTGCTGTTGTGCATTTTTTGTGGTAAAATATACATGACAGAATTTACCATTTTTAAGTGTACAGTTCAGTGACATTAAGTACATTCACATTGTGCAACTGGGCATGTTTTTTTAAAGATAGGATTATAGATCTAGGAGCTTGTGACTGAACTTAATAAAAGTATTTGGAATTGAATATAATTATTTGTCTACCTTTTAATTTAAGATTTTTAATGCATTTTAGATTAAGAGTTTTTGATAACTACATCATAGGATAGTGTTGTTTAATAACTTACATATTTGAGATTGCTTTGCACTCACATTTTTCCCCCTCTCCTTTTTAGTGCTTTTTTAGGCCCAAAGGACATATTTCCTTACTCAGAAAATAAGGAAAAGTACGGCAAACCAAATAAACGAAAAGGCTTTAATGAAGGTTTATGGGAGATAGATAACAATCCAAAAGTGAAATTTTCAAGTCAACAGGTGCGTTATTTGCATAAAACCTAGTTTAGTATTACTTACTCAGTTTTGAGGAGTGATCACTATTCTAGCTACAGGAAAATGAAAATTAATTTGAGAGCCTAGTGAATTTCAGATTAAACTGTTCTTATTTGTGAGGTTGAATCTTACCCTTTCATGTCTAGATGACGAGATGAAAATACCTGTATGGTTAAACAGATTTCAGAGAACTGGGGGGGTAACTGTATTTAAGTCCTGACTGAGAGTTTACATAATACATCACTGAACTTAGTCATATGTACTGTTCTCTTTAATTCAGGTTGGTTTTATGAATTGATGGGTGTGTATTTTTTTAATTTGTTTTTTGTTAAAGTATCGTTGATATAAATCTTTAATTGGTTTCCAATGTACAATACAACAGTCACCCTTATTATTAAATCCTCACCTCCACTAGTGTGGTATGTATTTTTAATTTCTCAGTTCTTAAAATTGTACTAGAATATGAACCTCATATGGGCTAAACTAGTAAATAGGTGACAAAAGGACTTATAGCACTATGCAAATATACTTAATCTTTTTGGTGTCTAAGAGGAGCCATACCCCTCCTTTTCATCCAGTTCTTCATGTGTGCAGAGCTTTTGTCATTAGAGTTGAGGTGGTAAAAACCACAAAAAGAGATGGCAACAAACTGAAAATTCTGCAGCTTTCTGCTTTTAAACCCATATATATTTTTTAGTTCTTTGCATGTGCCATGCTTTTTCTCATCTTTGAGAATCTTCAGATGCTGTTCTCTGGAACATTTATATCTTTTATTGATGCTCCAAGGCTGCATTAGATGGTCCTAATGAGTGTGTTTATCACCCAAACTTATGTTACAGTACTTATCATTACCATATCATAATTGCTTCTGTACTTGTCTTTACTGCCATAGACTATACTACTTCCATGAACAAAGAAGTTATATGGCCTGTGTGCCTGGCAGTGTTATATGTGTGGGAAGAAATAGGTATTCAACAAATACTTGTTGCATGAATGCAAGAGTTTGATGAGTGATTTCCCGTTGTTATTACCTTGACTGCCCAGCATTGCCCAGCATGCGTACCCTATCCTCTGTTCCTATCTCCCTACTTGGTCCTCAGGTAGTTTGACCACATACATTTGTAATTTTCCATCTTACTGTGAAATTTGATAGATTGTATACATGAAATACTACAATTTTCTGTCCTTAACAAAAGTACAGCTGATTGAGCTGTTGTGGAGTATTCTGTGTTCCTGGCCCAGACATGTCCCCAGTGGCACATTCCTAGGGTTTGGAGAAATCAGTGATGCCCAACTTAAACAAAACCAAAAAAATCGTTTATCATAACTTAAAAAATTTCTATAGTGCTATAAGTAATTTTGGGTGCAGTCTTACATTTTTTTTGTTAAAACTATAATTTGTGGGTTACTAGTATTGCCCTTTTTTTCAAAAGAGGAAAAGGGTTTACAATTTAAAGACTTGTCAGAGGAAACCAAGGGGGAAGTTTGGATCACAGTGCTGTCATATCCCAGATGAGCCTACGCTCACCTCCCAGTGGGCCCTGGATGCTCCTGTTATTCATCACTGTGGTTGGTATACTGTGAAAGTCTAAAGCCCCTTATCATCTGAGGGTTCTTTTAAGTTAATGATTACTGGATTACTACTCAGTACCTGTTAAACCACAAACAGGAACGTTTGGGTCTCAGGTTTCTACATTTTAAATAAATTAAGTTTGAGATAATAGGTCTGTTGAAATCTTTAGGACTGTGATACATATCCTTTGCTAACTAAGGCTGTTTTGTCTTAGAGTACATACATGAGCTTCTCTCTCCAGAATATTTCAGTAGTTGAATACAGTGTAGGTGTGTGCTATTCTCAATCTGTTTATGATGTATCTTTCTGGGTATTTGTTAGAGCATCAGAATGGTATTCTTTGTAATTGTACCTTTATTTCTGCCTTACTATATTACCCTTTGTACTTGTATGTATTCAGTTTATAGGACTATAATCCCTTACAAAACTTTCCTAATAAAAATAGTAGCATTAAAGCTATTTTAAAATTTACATATTAAAGGTGTCCTGTGGAACAAATGAGGGTACTTTTCTAACTTTCAACAAGCTTTTGATTTTTCTTGGGTAGAAAATTCTAAAGTTAAGGTAAAAATCTTACTTTGTGAAATTAATAGACTTGATTGTTCATAGGCATCAACTAAACAATCAAATGCATCATCTGATGTTGAAGTTGAGGAGAAAGAAACAAGTATTTCAAAGGAAGATACTGACCATGAAGAAAAAGCCAGCAATGAGGTGTGTTTAATTTCTCTTGCATTCTAACCCCATTTTGTTACAAGGAAGAAATTGTAAAATGAGTCGCTCATTAGATTGCAAAGTAGAAAGGACTCTTTACAGTAGTTGAGTAGTGAATGAAAAAATATTTAAGGCTCATTTCTTTGTGTAAACACTAATTGTAACTAGTGTATTTATATGTAAAATGTGTAAATATGTATAGTAAAATAACTTTTGCATCTTAATGATTTGCATTTGATGTTACTTTGCAATGCAGCTATGAGGTCCAACTCTAGGAGTGGGTTACTGTTTGGAAGATTCGTAAAGCAAGGTGTTGTGGAATGGATGTACTGGAAAGGGCACCTGAACTGAATTTTTTAAAACCTAGATTTATTTCCAATTCTGTATTTGGTTATCTTAGAATGGGGATACTCATTTAGCCCTGTTAGGGCTCATGCAATGGTGGTTAGATGATCTCCAGAGTCCCAGCCACCTCTTAAAATTCACAACTCTAAAAATTCAAGATTATACTGTAGAAAAAGCAATTGTATAAATTTAAATAGACAATCTTGCTAGGGTACTAGCAAGCATGACTATTACATTTGATCTAGGCAGAAATAATTTTGTTTTTAGGTAAAGGTACCTGTTATTATTTTGACTTCATAATGAATAATAATGTCAATACTTTTAATGTTTATAATTTCAAAGATCAGAGGAGCAAAACAAGGTTCCCTAGTACTTTCATTGAAACATTTCTAAATTTGTGAATTCTAGTTTAGAAATTTTCTTTGTCTTGGCATAATTTATTCAGTTTCATTGTATTTCTGTTTTTTTAGGATGTGACTAAAGCAATTGACATAACCACTCCAAAAGCTGCCAGAAGAGGAAGAAAGAGAAAGGTGATTTTATTTACTGCTTAACCATAGGGATCTTACAGTGATTGTTTAGTTGGATTGAAGAAGAGTAGAGATAATAAAATCTTATCATTTATTTCAAACTTTGCCTTTAACTCTAAATCCTTTAATTTCTTAAAGAGTAGGTAATGTTGTTTACTTACTAAACTCTGTGTTTCTTATGATACAGCACTCTTAAGGTAAGTTGAATGGTATAGAAAATGAAATATATCAATTACCATTCTTCTAATGACACTGCCTCCAGTTTTCTCTGGAAATTGGGTAATATATGTATACTCATAAAGTTGTTGAAAGGATTGAGTTAACACATGTAAAATATTGATAATAAATCCTGGTACGTAGTATTACATAAGCGTTGTCCATTATGATGTTATTTCTTTACAATACTGATGCATGAAATGAGAGAAGGTGACAGTTTAGGACTAGGTACATCTTAGGCTTTTAATTGAGTTTCTTCTCTACTACATGAAGTTTTATTATACCTACTTCCAACCTATTTATATTTAAAAGAAAACTAAGAATTCCATATTTCATAGGAAGAATATGAAAATACAGTGGCCTTTTATCCCTTGTTGAGTGTTTGTGGAAGGGGATGTGATAACTAACAAAATTTTAAATGATTGGCAGAATTTTCTCAGGCAAATGCAGGAAGGGAAAGACACAGGAGGCAATTTGAACAGTATGTACAGAGGCATAGAGAAAATTTCATTTTAAGTATTTCAGGTACTGCATTTTGTTATTACCAGACCATAAAGTTTGAGGGGCCAAGGGTACAAGAAAACCCCAGTGTTATTCTGAAGAATTTGAACTTAGAGAAATAATGGGATGCCATTGAATCATTTTAAGTTTTAGGTGCCTCCTCTTTTAAAGCATTCTGAGTGATGGGAATTGGATAGGGGCAGGGAGAACAGTTCACTGATTAGTTCATTCAGAAGCTTAGTACTAATTTCACTAGGCCAGGCAGGGAATTGAGAAGAAGTACATCAGGAAGGTAAGGCCTCTGTTCTCACTGAACTTCATTTTTGTTGAGACAGACAGTGAATACATAAATCTAGAGAGTTAAAATGGGGTAACTAAGTTATGAAAGGCTTTTCCAAGGAGTGAGCATAGGTTAGAAGGTTGAGAGAGACCTTGCAGTAGGTATTTTTAGTAGTGTAGATGAGAGGTAGGACTTAGGAGCACTTTAGGAGGTAAAGTTGATTGGAAGTGGGTGTGAAGGAATGCAGGGAAGAATCTAGGATGACTCCAGGATTGGATGACTAGATCAGATACTGAGAAAGCAGGAGGTGGTAGTTTGGTGGGAGCAAGAGGCATGGGAAGGAGGAAGTGAAACACCTGTGGGAATTAGACCTAAAGATACATACTGTTCTGACACCAAAGGGGGAAAGGTCAAAGTTAAAGATGCAATCACAGATGTAAAGAATAGGATAAGAGATGAGACAGTAGTAAAGAAAGTAAGTTTACTGACAAGAATGCAGAAAGCAGAGTCCTGAGGGAATATATATAATACTGGGTATTATATCTTAAATGTTTGTGAATCAGATAGTTGATTAAAAAGTTTAAATGTTTTTATCAATAACATTGGGTTATTGCATGTTGCCTGCCTTTTCAGTCTCAGTTCAAAAATAAAATGTGTATAATAAAAAAGTTAAAGAGTAAGAAATATCAGCAACTTAATTTCTTTTTCTAATACTAGATTAATTTAGCTTCTGTATCATAAGTACACAATGTAAAGTGTTAGCATTTTGAGGCACTCAAAAGTACATTTTTAAGCAATGTGGTTTGTTAGGGGTAATTACATTATACTTTACATCAAGAATATTAGCTTTATTTATACAAATGGCTTTTCTAGGTTGAGAATATCTAAAAGCCTGTTTGTTTCTTAGACTTGTTCACTAGAATTATAAAGCTAAGTTTGAGGATGTTGCTCTGTGGTCAGTTGACTGTTGAAAGTAATACCATACAGACAGAAGTACGCTGATACTTGAACTATTTTTCTTAGCATGACTGATTTTTGCCATCGAATTATACTTGGAATGTCTACTGTTCACTAAATAAGTTCAATATTTGTGATTTAGGCAGAAAAACAAGTAGAAACCGAGGAGGCAGGAGTAGTGACGACAGCAACAGCATCTGTTAACCTAAAAATGAGTCCGAAAAGAGGACGACCTGCAGGTAGGATAAATGTTTGAATCTCTGGCTTGTTATTCACACTCTAGCCCGTTAGAAGTGCTGTACCTCAGGTACTTTGGAACAGGTGGATGGGCAGTTGGTTATGGATAGTATACAAGTTTCAGAGGAGGTAAACATGGCTTCTGCTCTGTGTAGTAAAGTATTTAAATGTGAAGAAATTGTCTGGGACTGTTTTCATTTTCTGCTTTATCTAGTATTATGTTTCCCTCTAGTAACAGCAAATTGTGGTCAGTTTTAAATTCCAAGAATTACGGGTTTATTTTGCCTGGAAAATAAACTCTCCAGGTAGTACCATACTAAAATCAAAGAGAAGCAGCATTTGAGTAATTACAGCTATTACTATTTTAAATTCATTGCACTCTTTGTTTAGACCTTAGCAATATGCAGCTATCTTTAGCACTGCCTATTTATTTTCCTAATTTGGCAAATTAGAAGTAGTTTGGACAGATCTGCCTCTAATACGAAGTAAAACAAGGAAAATTAACCAAAGTAGAGCCACGTTTTTTTCTACTTTGCAGAGTAGGATTATTACTGAAAGGGGGTAAGATGAGTAATACCCAGAAAAGAAGAAAAACTCAATTTGTTTATTTACACAATTTTTACTTTGGAATTTAATGTATTGGATCATATTAATGGTGTCAATGAATTCTGTTACAGATGCTCAACATATTATAATATGTATGTGAATAATGAACATCAATAGCTATTACAAATTTGAATTTTGTGGTATTCTGTTAAAGCAACAATGAAGGATTTTTGAAACCTCAGCCATACTGAGGACAAATTGAAAGTTTGTTGATCTATTTCTTTAAATTTTGTTGTTGCTTATTTGAACCATTGGAGGGAATGCAATCTTTAAAACTTAATTGTACTTTTAGTGTATGTCATGTGTAGTCTTGATGTGTTAGATCTGCCACTCAAAGGGAAGCTGGTAGTTATGGCTGTTTCTTTCCCTGTGAATGTTAGCTGCAGAAGTCAAGATTCCCAAACCGAGAGGCAGACCCAAAATGGTAAAACAGTCCTGCCCTTCAGAGAGTGACACGTGAGTTTACTTTTAATGTGTTTTATTTAATAGATGAGACACTTGACTTTAGATATAAATCTCTGCATTTTTGCAGTTTTATTTTACAGGATGTTTGTTGCATTCCTAAAAATTATGGGAGAAACTGTTGAAAATTAGTTTTTATTACATAAAAAGCAAAAACTGATAGGGAATCAAGAAAAATCTGGTGGGCTTATCATTTCATTAAAGATATTTTCTTGGTGTATCAGGGTAAAGATAGATAGATAATGTAGGATAGAATTTGTATTAGGGAAATTGGACAGGATACCGTATTTAAGGAAATTTTTGGCAAATTATTTTTGAAGCAATTTCCACAAATCTTTTTAGCTCCTCCAGAGTAACTGTTATTTTTGTAGTGTAAATTTATAATTTTGAAGTTACCAACAACATAATCTTTTTTCTTGTCATCTTTCTTTTCTATTTGTACAGATCTTATTTGTGTTGGCTTTTCTGGGTACAAACTTCACCAGAAGGAGTGTATATTTGGAGAAAGAGGGCACAATTTTTTGTAGCTATGAGTATGTCATTTAAGAATGGATTTCCAGTGTTTTTAAATGAAACATGTTTTTAGGAAATTTTAGTTACACAACATTGGAGGATTGGTACTTTACAAGCAAGATATGTTTTAAAGAGTTTTATTTTACTGCCAATCGAGCTTTTTAACTATTCTAAAAAATAGTGGCATAAAATTATTACATGATGTTAGCTACTGTAGTAAAATTAAGAAATAAGGTACATGCAGGTAAGTTTGTTAAACATACCAAATCTCACTCATCATCTCCCTATAGCGTCTTACCTAATAGCATCAGACATAAAGGCTAGGATTTCACTACTAACATAAGGCCTTGATCGAGAGACTTGGGAACTAAAAATACCAAGTTTTCTGCTCTCCTCCCCTATATAAGCACGCACATGTAAATCTGAGATACGGTAGCATAATAAATATTCCCATTTGGAAAACCAAAGATTAAGAGGCACACAGCAGTCACTGTTCCTTTGGAAATCTGAAATTCTGCTAGGAAGAAATTGAGATCCTCCCATTTTAGATATAAGGAATTTTCCCCTTGATTAGGTCTTAGTTTTCCTTTAAAGACTCTTCCTAGTCCCTGGCATTTGGTTGATCCTCAGAGCTCTTTTCAGTATCCTCCTCAGTTGCATTTGTAAGCGTCATGAGCCAGTATTACCCTCTTTGTCAGCTGAGCAGATTTCTCATTCTGCTTTCATACTAATAGGGAGTTTGGGGCACAAGGTCAATTCTTGTATCTCCATTACTTCCTCTTGATGCAGTCTGGTGTTACTTCTGGTAAAGATACTTTGTTAGTATGTGTGTCTGTTTAATTCCAGTCAGCTTCATGGGGAATGTCTCCTAAGATTTCCTCAGACATGTTTATCTTTTAATGCTAATTAATCAGGCACTTTGAATATATAGGTTTTCCCTTGGTCTCTTTACTAAAACCAGTTGTCCATCTCTGAAGGATCAAGGTAGCCCACTTTGAATTCTTAAGGAAAGCCTGGCAGCTTATCCCTCATTTGGATCTTTGACCCCAGTCTTTGTTTCCTGGATGGAGGTGACTTTCAACACTGAAATGCATGGAAATTTTAAGTCCTCCTCTCTTTGTCATCCTATTATTATTATTATTATTTTTCATCCTATTGTTTTTTTAAACTCATCTCTTTCTTGAAGTACCTTATTAAATTTATCTTGATAACAATTCAAGATGCCAGCAGCATTTTTTCTTGAAATCTTTTCACTCAAAGTCACAACTACACTTAATTTCTTTTCACGTTGCCATAGGTGATACTTGTACCCATTGTATACTAATATTTTAGGGTTTTCAGTTTCCCAGCCCCATAGCCAGTGCACATTTTAGGTTTGTGTTACTGGTATCACTGTCTATTAGTGAGCTTTTTGGTGAGAACATGGACAACTCCAAAATAGCAGTAGCTTACAATATTTATTTCTCATTTGCACTGTATGTAGGCTGGGCATTGGTTGTGCCACTTTTGGCTACTTATTTGGGCACAAACCCAGTGGAGTGCAGAGCTAAACTATATAAACTCTTCTGAAACTTTTGCTCACTGGAATAAGAAAAGCATATATTAGCGAGGGCTGCTTTGCAGTGGGTTCTGAAATGACAAGCTAGTGGAAAGAGCCCAGAAGAGCTGAGACCATCTCATAATCTTCATGTAAGGAAGAAATACTTGTTATAAGACACACATACTTGGAGTTGCATAGGTTTTGCTTACATTAACATATTAAAAGACTATAAAGAAATACACAAATTCAGATTTCCTATTATGCCTTGGACTATTAAGTAGAGAAATTGTCACTGTGGGTAATTTCTTTTATAGAAGGTGGTAAAGAGGTCTTGTAGCAAGCAATGATAGTCATGTTTATGGAAATTGACTGCTCCACCATGTGTATGGATACATCCTTTTTAAAATTTATTTATTTATTTATTTATTAAGGTATTATTGATATACACTCTTATGAATGTTTCACATGAAAAACCAATGTGGTTACTACATTTACCCATATTAACCAGTCCCCACACATGCCCCATTGCAGTCACTGTCCATCAGTGTACTAAGATGCCACAGTTTCACTATTTGCCTTCTCAGTGCTACACTGTCTTCCCCTTGACCCCCCTATACCATGTGTACTACGCATAATACCCCTCCATCCCCTTCTCCTTCCCTCCTCTTTGGTAACCACTAGTCACTTTTTGGAGTCTCTGAGTCTGCTGGTGTTTTATTCCTTCAGTTTTGCTTCATTGTTATACTCCACAAATGAGTGAAATCATTTGGTACTTGTCTTTCTCCACCTGGCATACATCACTGAGCATATCCTCCAACTCCATCCATGTTGTTGCAAATGGTAGGATTTGTTTCTTTCTTATGGTTCAGTTGTAGTCCATTGTGTGTATGTACCACTTCTTTACCCATTCATCTACTGATGGACACTTAAGTTGCTTCCATATCTTGGCTATTGTAAATAGTGCTGCAGTGAACATGGGGGTGCATATGTCTTTTTGAATCTGAGAAGTTGTATTCTTTGGGTAAATACCAAGGAGTGGGATTCCTGAGTCAAATGGTATTGCTATTTTTAGCTTTTTGAAGAACCTCCATACTGCTTTCCGCAATGGTTGAACTAGCTTACAATCCCACCAGCAGTGTAGGAGGGTTCCCCTTTCTCCGTATCCTCGCCAGCATTTGCTGTACTTAGTCTTCTCGATGCTGGCCATCCTAACTGGTGTGAGGTGATATCTCCTTGTGGCTTTAATTTGCATTTCCCTGATGATTAGTGATGTGGAGCATCTTTTCATGTGTCTGTTGGCCATCTGAATTTCTTCTTTGCAGAAGTGTCTGTTCAGATCCTCTATCCATGTTTTAATTGGGTTATTTGTTTTTTGGGTGTTGAGGCGTGTGAGTTCTTTAAATATTTTAGATGTTAACCCCTTGTCGGACATGTCATTCTACCATACTGTAGGATGCCTTTTCTGTTGATGGTGTCCTTTACCGAAGCTTTATTTTGATGTAGTCCCATGTGTTTTGCTTTTGTTTCCCTTACTTGAGGAGACACATTCAGGAAGAAGTTGCTCATGCTTATATTCAGGAGATGTTTGCCTATGTTGACTTCTAAGAGTTTTATGGTTTCATGACTTACATTCAGGTCTTTGATCCATTTTGAGTTTACTTTTGTGTATGGGGTTAAACAATAATCCAGTTTCATTCTCTTGCATGTAGCTGTCCAGTTTTGCCAACACCAGCTGTTGAAGAGGCTGTCATTTCCCCATTGCATATCCATGGCCCCTATATTGTATATTAATTAACCATATATAGTTGAGTTTCTATCAGGGCTCTCTAGTTTGTTCCATTGGTCTATGGGTCTGTTCTTTTGCCAGTAACAAATTGTGTTTATTACTGTGGCTTTGTAGTAGAGCTTGAAGTTGGGGAGCGTAATCCCCCAGCTTTATTCTTCCTTCTCAGAATTTCTTTGGCTATTCGAGGTCTTTTGTGCTTCCATATGAATTTAGAACAATTTTCTCTATAGTTCGTTGAAGAATGTTGTTGGTATTTTGATAGGAATTGCATTGAATCTATAGATTGCTTTAGGCAGGATGGCCATTTTGACTATTAATTCTTCCTATCCATGAGCATGGGATGAATTTCTATTTGTTGGTATCTTCTTTAATTTCTCTTCAGTGTCTTGTAGTTTTCAGGGTATAGGTCTTTCACTTCCTTGGATAGGTTTATTCCTAGGTATTTTATTCTTTTTGATGCTATTGTGAATGGAATTGTTTTCCTGATTTCTCTTTCTATTAGTTCATTGTTAGTATATAGGAATGCAACAGATTTCTGTGTGTTAATTTTGTATCAGGCAACTTTGTTGAATTCAAATACTAGATCTAGTAGTTTTGGAGTGGATTCTTATAGGGTTTTTTATGTACAGTATCATATCATTTGTAAACAGGGACAGTTTAACTTCTTCCTTGCCAATCGGGGTGCCTATTATTTCTTTGTGTTGTCTGATTGCCGTGGCTAGTACCTCCAGTATATGTTGAATAGAACCGTTTACTTCTTTGTGTTGTGTAACTGCTGTGACAAGAACCTTCAGACTTATGCTGAATAAAATTGGAGAGAGTTTGCATCCTTGTCTTGTTCCTAATCTTAAAGGAAAGGCTTACAGCTTCTTGCTATTAAGTAGGATGTTTGCTGTGATATTATCATAAACGGCCTTTATTATGTTGAGGTACTTGCCCTCTCTACCCATTTTATTGAGAGTTTTTATCATGAATAGCTGTTAATTTTGTTGAATGCTTTTTCAGCATCTGTGGAAATGATCATGTGGTTTTTGTCCTTTTTGTTAATGTGGATGTTGATGGATTTTTGAATGTTGTACCATCCTTGCATCCCTTGGGTGAATCCCACTTGATCATGATGGATGATCTTTTTGATGTATTTTTGAATTCAGTTTGCTAATATTTTGTTAAGTATTTTTGCATTTATGTTCATCAGTCATATTGGTGTGTAGTTTCCTTTTTTTGTGGTATCTGCCTGTTTTTGGTATTAGAGTGATGCTAGCCTCATAGAATGAGTTTGGATGTATTCCCGCTTCTCCTACTTTTTGGAAAACCTTAAGGTGGATGGGCATTAGGTCTTCACTAAATGTTTGATAAAATTCAGTGGTGAAGCCATCTGTACCAGGGATTTTGTTCTTGGGTAGTCTTTTGATTATTGGTTCAATTTCTTTGCTGGTAATTGGTCTTTTCAGATTTTATGTTTCTTTATGGGTCAGCCTTGGAAGGTTGTATTTTTCCAGAAAGTTTTACATTTCTCCTAGTTTATCCAGTTCGTTAGCATATAATTTTTCATAGTATTCTGTAATAATTCTTTGTGTTTCTGTGGTGTCCGTAGTGATTTTTCCTTTCTCATTTCTGATTCTGTTTGTGTGGAAACTCTTTTTCTTGGTAAGTCTGGCTAGGCGTTTATTTTGTTTATTTTCTTGAAGTACCCGCTCTTGCCTTCATTGATTCTTTCTATTGTTTTATTCTTCTCAATTTTATTTATTTCTGCTCTAATCTTTATTATATCCTTCCTTCTACTGACTTCGGGCCTCATTTGTTTCTTTTTCTAGTTTCATTAATTGCAAGTTTAGAGTGTTCATATGGGATAGTTCTTCTTTCCTGAGGTAGGCCTGTATTACTGCATACTTCCCTGTTAGCACGGCCTTCACTGCGTCCCACAGATTTTGCAGTGTTGAAGTACTGTTGTCATTTGTCTCCAGATATTGCTTGATCTCTGTTTTTATTTGATCATTGATCCATTGGTTATTCAGGAGCATGTTGTGAAGCCCCCATGTGTTTGTGGGATTTTTCATTTTCTTTGTATAATTTATTTCTAGTTTCATACCTTTGTGGTATAGGCAGCATATAGATGGTTCTTGTTTTTTTATCCATTGAGTGACTCTATGTCTTTTGATTGGTGCATTCAGTCCATTTACATTTAGGGTGATTATCAATAGGTATGTACTAATTGCCATTGCAGGCTTTAGATTTGTTGTTATCAAAGGTTCAAGGTTAACTTCCCTACTACTATCTAAGAGTCTAACTTAACTCACTTAGTATTATTAAAACACAATCTAAAGGTTCTTTTTTTCTTTTATTTCCTCCTTCATTCTTTACATATTAGGTGTCATATTCTGTACTTTCTATCCCTTGACTGACTTTGGTGATAGTTGATTTGATTTTGCATTTGCTTAGTAATTAACTGTTCTACTTTTTTTACTGTGGTTTTATTATCTCTGGTGACAGCTGTTAAACCTTAGGAACCCTTCCATTAATAGCAGTCCCTCCAAAATGCACTGTAGAGATGGTTTGTGGGAGGTAAATTCTCTCCGCTTTTGCTTATCTAGGAATTGTTTAATCCCTCCTTCAAATTTAAGTGATAATCTTGCCAGGTATTCTTGGTTTTAGGCCCTTCTGCTTCATTGCATTAATTATATCATGCCACTCCCTTCTGGCCTGTAAGGTTTCTCCTGAGAAGTCTGATAGCCTGATGAGCTCTCCTTTTTATGTGATCTTAGTTTTCTCAAGGCTGCTTTTAATAGTCTGTCCCTATCCTTGATCTTTGCCATTTTAATTATTATATTTCTTAGTGTTGTCCTCCTTGGGTCCCTTTTTTGTGAGATCTGTATACCTCCATGGCCTGAGAGACTATCTCCTTCCCCAGATTGGGGAAGTTATCAGCAATTACTTCTCAAAGATAATTCCTGTTTTTCTCTCTCTCTCCTTCTTCTGCTACCTGTATAATACTAATATTATTCCTTTTGGATTGGTCACATAGTTCTCTCAGTATTCTTTCATTCTTACCCTTTTTTCTCTCTATGCCTCAGCTTCTTTGTATTCCTCTTCTCTAATTTCTATTTCATTTATTGTCTCCTTCACCATATCTTATCTTTTAAAACCTTCCATTGTATGTTCCATTTCTGAACTGTGTTCCGTAATGATTGGATCTCCAACCGGAATTCATTCGAGTTCTTGAATATTTTTCTGTACGTCCATGAGCATGTTTATGATTTTTATTTTGAAATCTCTTTCAGGAAGATTCATGACATCAGTTTCATTTGACTGTTTTTGGTGTATGTAGGGTTGGTTTTTCTTTGAACCAGGTTCCTTTGATTTTTCATATTTGTATGTGGTGCCCTCTAGTGCCCAGAAGCTCTACTCTCTGGAGCTGCTTACCCCCTGGAGCATTGTTGGGGGTCACAGAGGAGCGGTGTTGGTGCCTGGGGGGAGGAAAGAGTTCTTTTCTGTTTCCTGGCTGTTACACCGGTCTCCACTGCCAGAACCAGTGGGCCAAGCTCATAGGTATAAGCCTCTGTGCTTTGCGTTTGTAGCTGCTGTAAGTGGTGCTTCCCCCTGGCTTGCCTGACTCCAGGTCAGAGTTTGCCGATTTGTGAGCCAGGTGCAGGCTGGTTGGGAGGAAGGTACAGCAGGCTGCATATCACAGTGGGGTGCCTTGGAGCTGTGTAGCCAGCCATGGGACTGGAGTGCCTGAAGATCATGGAAGTTCCCGATCTGCTTGGCAGTGTGCACCCGGACAATTTTGTCTACGTGTCCTTTCTCCTGAGCAGGAAGCTCTGTGCAATCCTTGCCCCTTTAGAAGCCCTCTCGCTGTTAGGAAGTCTCTCAGACTACCCACCTTTCTTTTGTCCTAGAGCAGCCAGATATCGATCTGTTTTCCACAAGTGGCTGGAATCTGTCTCTCCAGGTATTCGTGTCTTAGCTTTCCAACCCACTAAACGCCAGAGCACAATGCAATGTAGATTTGCACTACCAGAGCAGATCTCTAGAGCTCGGTGTTCAGAAGTCCCAGGCCTCCACTCCCTGCCCACTTTGTGTCTCTTCCTCCCACCAGTGAGCTGGGATGGGGGAAGGGCTTGGGTCCCGCAGTGTCACGGCTTTAGTATGTTACCCTGTTGCGTGAGGTCTGTTGTTTTGTCCAGGTGTTCTTTTCTGTTGCTCTTTCAGGATTAGTTGTATTAATTACATTTTCGTATTATATGCGGTTTTAGTAGGAGGCCTGTGTCTTGCCTCTCACGCTGCCATCTTTAATCCTGGATACATTCTTTTAAAAACTGTCATCTATTGTTCTGTACATGTGCAAATAATTGGTTAGAATACACTTGCTAGAAGCAGATTTGCAGGGTGGAAATACAAAAAAAGTTTCTGATTTTAATATTTGCTTCCTTTCATGGGGAGTAATATTTTGTGGGACTCATTAATATCTACTAAGAGCCATGGAAATGCTTTTTATGATTGACCCTATTCCCCTCTCCAGGAAATTATTAAAATACATTTGTGGAAATACTGAAGATAAGTTAATTTTTACTTGCATGCTTTTTTGTCAGTCGATTAAAAGGATAAAACCCTTATGACATTTGAAAATAAGTATACCCAATGATAGTTATGTAACAAAATTTCTAGAGATAAAAATCCAATTTAATCTCTTCAGGCATTTAAGGAAGCATTTGTCTGGTAGGAGGTCAGTGGATTTGGAATTGAGAAATCAGGCAAACTATTTGACCTTTTTTTGCACCATCATTTTCTCATTTGTCAAATGGAATGGATTGAACTGTATAATCTGGGGACCCTTTCAGCTCTCAGATCCATTGATGTAATTGTATAATTTGTGAAAATATCTATGAAGTTCCTTAAACAGTAAAAAGGTTAGTTTTTAAGCAGCTTTTCCAAACTTTAAGTCATATTTCTTTATGGAATTGCTTTAGTTGACATATACACCATAATAGTAATTACGTGGTTAACATTGGTATCATTTGATTCTTTCTAGAGTCTGTTATCATGTCCTAAGTACTCATGTTTATTTCTGCTCTACTAGTACACATAAATATCATCCAAGAGTGATGGTAGGATTACTGAGCAATTTCAGGAGTTTGACTTTGTTTAATGATGTCTGAAGTCTAGTGATGGGAGTGCTTGGGTGCCAGTTCAGTGCTGTACTTCATTGAACACATATTATACCATTATATGGATAAGTTGGGAGCCTTCTGCCTTGCAAAGTTTATTTCTTTGAATACTAAAATGACTATATTTGTTCATATGCAGTTCACTTTCTGCAGTTGTATTTTTCCCTGTGTGCCTACTTCTTAAACATAATTTACTCTTCTAAATAACCACAGTATAAGCTCTATAAAGTCCAGGTATCTTACCCATTACCCATCCTATACACTATACTATCCCCAGAATCAAGAATGTACTAAGGCATGTAAGATAGCACTCATTATTTTTTTCAGTGAATGAGTTGTAAAAAGTTGAAAAACAGAGAAAAAATTATTTTCTTTTCCTCTAATAATGCCACTGTATTTTTATATCTTTTATATTAAAAGGATTTTTTTCCTTTTATGACCGGATGGTAAAGACACTCCATTACATTTTAACTCATACATATTTTAAGTTTGTCATTAAATAACAAAGAAATTATAGAACTGTTATACAAAATACTCAGTTGACTGGGCAAGTGTGGTTGAATGACAAGTATTAATGATATATAAAGGTTCATTTTGCATTGTTTGTGCTGTTTAAAATAGGGTAACTGAAGAAGACAAAAGTAAGAAAAAGGGGCAAGAGGAAAAACAGCCTAAAAAGCAGCTTAAAAAGGATGAAGAAGGCCAGAAGGAAGAAGATAAGCCAAGAAAAGAGCCAGACAAAAAAGAGGCAAAGAAAGAAGTTGAATCAAAAAGGAAAAATTTAGCTAAAACAGGAGTTACATCAACCTCTGATTCTGAAGAGGAAGGAGATGACCAGGACAGTGAAAAGGTGAGAACATTTATCTATCAAATAAAATATTTGTTCCATTTTTAGTTTACTCTGTAGTTCTTAATGTTTAGGAAACTTTTGATATTATTGTGAAAATGTGATTAAAAGTTGAAACTGAATTTGTTTGCCTCTTTGAATAAACTTGAGTTAGCTACATTAAAAAAGCATACTTAAAACTTAGTTATACATTCTAAATTTATCTTAGTACCTTTTGCAATTTTGATACGAAAATTAAATGTCACGTAATAAACTTCCAATAACCACATCTATCTAAAAACGGTAGGATAGTAGAGATTAAGCCAGATAGATTGTGACCAGTGAAGACAGATGTAAAATAATAGACACATTTATATGTTAACATTTGTACCATTCTGAAGGCCTGTTTAGTGTGCATTTTATCAGTGAGTTCTTTATTTGGATGCCACAGTTAGGCAGTTTTATTAAAGCTATGATTCTTTTGTAGAAAAACACAAATTTTGTTATAATAGCCTTGGACATCTACAGGCCCAGTAGTGTAAATCTTTGGTTTATTTTCATCTGGTTTCTTAAAACTTGTGAAGTCTAAAACTTTAAATTGGAAAAGGTGAGCAGTGTACTTGTCAGTGAACAGGTACTGAAGTCAGAATCATAGTGTAGAGGCAAATAGTCTACCATACATTTTAAAGAAAGCAAATCACTCCTATAGCAGTGCAGAAAGTAGATTTTAATTCCCTAAGTCAAGTGAAAGTTTGAGTTAGGTAGCAACATGTATGATTATGAGATTCAAAAAAATCATCCTTAAGAAAATGAGTTGCTTTTTTTTTCCTTTCAAGATTGTAATCTTAGAAGCACTAGTACTGACTTGATAATTCCATCCCAATTCTCAAAACAGAAGAGAAAAGCTGCAAGAAGTTTTCAGGCTGCTCATAGAAGGAATATTCTGAGAGGCCAATATGAGAAAGAAGTAGCAGAAAGAAAACGCAAGCAAGAGGAACAAATGGAAACCGAGCAGTAAGTATTTTTTTACTTAAATTTTGATTTCTTTTTTAAGCTAGCATGAAAAATTTAAACAATAGAATCTCATTTCCAGACCATATGTGAAGCCTTTTAAGGAAGTGACTTTTCCCATGTGTTAGAAAAAAATCTTCAGCATATGATAATCATGTTTCAAGCTTCATTCTTTTCAGAGAGGATGAAATTCACTGAGGGAATTACCCTGTGAATTATTTTTAATTTAAACTGACAGTACAGATATAATTTAAATGTTAGTGGCTTTGCAGAAAATAACCTCATCCTCCACTGTTTACTTCTGTTAAGTACATAGAAAGAGTGATGATAATACGTTGGTGGAGAAAGAATGAAAGATCCTTACTTGGATGACCACCAGCAGACCTCCCTTCAAAAGACCAGCAGAAATAACAAAAGCACAGTTGGAAACCCAAAAAGCCAGTAAAAGTAAATCTAAGGCTGTTGAGGTTTGCATTAGATATATTCAATTCTAAATCAAATTCAAAGCTTGATTTCTCATAAGTTTTGATACTTGTAGACAGTATATACTTAGAATGGGGAATGTCCCATTTTATTTTATAAAATTACTTTATTAGAAGAAAAATAGCAGTGGCAGTGATGATTAGGCTTCATGTGTTTATTGCATTTGTGTTCCTAGGTATCTTTATACTGTCACTTCTGAGTTCTTTCTCAGAAAAGCATTTCTTTGTGAAGCATCTTGCATTATTCTGACTAAACTGTTTTTTTTATTATTTTAGTGAAGAGGTGATTTTAAAAACATGCTGTAGGTCATTAAGACAAGCTTAATGATAAGCAGTGAAATTTATTCTTAAATTCTGTACTTTTTCTTTATATAATAAATTTGTAAGCAAAGTCTTATAAGTACAGCATTTGACTATCTGCTTTCTTAGTTGCTCTTGGAGGATTTATAAGCAGTTTCAGCTACTTGAGGGAGTAATTTAAAAATAGATTTAAAGCTCAGAACTGTTACTCCCTCTAATCTGTTAGCTTGACCATTTCTGTAAATACTAGTTATTTTTTGTTACCTATCCTTTTCTGACCTTTCACTGAAAAGTTGTTGGACTGTTTATTGCTTTTAACTTTATTGTGCTCCCCAAATAAGATATAAAAGTAGTCGTTGCTTAGTAAATCTAGCCCAACTTTTCTTCAGTATCTCAGTTACCTTTATGTGTTTCAGTTTCTTTTTGAATGTCCTCCAAATGTAATTTTCTCAAATTCTAATATTTGTGTTTTCTTTCCTTCTCCTGTTATTACAAAACTTTGTACTTGGACAGTTTTGCTCTGTAAAGCATTTCAGATGCAGCTTGTGTGAAATGCATTATGCAAAATAAAGTTTATTGTATTGTATTCCCAGCCAAACAACATGTAATCTACAGTAATAAAAAATATATCTCATTTTGGGCTCAAAGCATTAATCCAGTTACTGAAAAGAGAATACAAGTGGAGCAAACGAGAGATGAAGATCTTGAGACAGACTCATTGGACTGAATTTCCCCCTTCCCCCCTTGATGGAAGAATGTTCCAGATTCTAAATTGAGGACTTCATTAATGGCATTATAACTGTGTTGATTGTTTAAAAACAAAATTTCCTGTAAGGTACACACTACATACTAAGGTTGGCCATCATTCCTGTTGAAAGATTTTTACCAAGCTTACAATGAAGCTTTTGTGTTTGATAGTTATAAGAAGCTCAGATGAAGATGGTGGTTGTGCATTATTTCATTTAGAAAACATAAAGATCATTTTGTTTTGAAGCTAGGTGTAAACTGGAATAGCAGTTATACCCCAGAGAATGGGGCAGTTGTGCCCGTCCCTTGACATTCCTTTGTTGTTTAATTCTTTAGAATCTTCATAATTGTTTTTCTTTCAATCCTGAGAGATTAAACAGTAGACTTGTTAAGAAAACAAAAAATGAAACTGTAACCAAAATTTTAAAATAAAGTTTTTTTAAAAAAAAACCTGATTTTTATATATTTTTTTGTTCTTGTCTTATTTCAATTGATTTATAATAGGGCCTGAACTCCAAGCCAAGGTACTAGAAATTACTTATTTTTAAACGGTTATTTTTGTGATTTATAGTAAAGTGGTACCTTTCCTTTGTGAATGAATGTCATTTAAGTTTGCTATATATTGGCAAAAAAAATCATTTTAATATGGTAGCAGTACTTAAATAGTAGTTAACCTTGAAACTGACTTCACACTACTCAAATTATCTACCCTTTGAGATGTGGGAACAATTAAATCAGCCTATTTTGACAGGCAACTTTAAAAAATATTTGTGATGTGGAAGTAGAATTCACAGAATGTGTATAGGCACTCTCTTCCCACTATGGCTTGTCCTTTGAACTTGGAATTGATCTTTTAACAACGCACTGTTTATTTGGTTATTGCTGGAAAAAAAGTTCACCACCATGTCTGTTATTTTGTGATGCCACTGAAAAATTAGATGGGTATTTATTTTAGCATGTTCCTTTTTACATGTTTTAAGTTTTGCTTTATATTGACAGTGATGCCAATGCTATGGCATTGCAGAGTTTTAAATTACAATCACATTGTGATACAGGCTACTGACTTAACTATTTTAAAGAAAAGGGATTGGGTGTTTGATAATTAGTCACAAAGGTCCAATGTTTTGAAATATTTGTGTTAACATTTGATAGGCAGAATAAAGATGAAGGAAAGAAGCCAGAAGTTAAGAAAGTGGAGAAGAAGCGAGGTTGGTTTTTTCACTTTCTAAGATGTATAAAATTACTATATATAGGAAGTTATAGACACCTAATTTTTCATATACAGATTTTGAAATCAGTTTTTTTAATGTCCTTAAATCCTACAACTGCACTTTTTCAAAGCTCTAATGAATTCTATATACATTGATTTGTATTTTAAGTATAATCAAGTGAACTTGCCTAAGGAATCATGTGTTTTATTTTAATTCCCATCATCTCAAGTCTAATTTTTATAACATTGCCAAATGCTAGGTGTTTTCCCATTTTTAACAAATCTGGTTTCAGACTGTTCCTGTTTTTGGTTAAATGTAGAAGGTGAAGCAGGTGTTCAAGGATTGGGATAGAGCAGTTAGTTATTAAAGCAGACTGCTTATTTTAGAAACATGTAGCTAGATGGTGATCTTTTTGCTTATATGGTATATGTTGCTTTCCTAAACCAAATACTAAAAATACAGCAGATAACTTCTTAGTGATGTAGACAGATTACTAAGAACATTTAAAATAATCAACAAGTATTTCTATTATACTTGTAGATTATACAGAAATACTGGTTTTGGAAAAGGTATTTACTGTGTCTCACATTTTAATTTATAGAAACGTCAATGGATTCTCGTCTTCAAAGGATACATGCTGAAATTAAAAATTCCCTCAAAATTGATAATCTTGTAAGTGTCTAACACCTCACTTAAAGATAGTGCTGTTTTTATAGCTTCATATTTTCTCACAAGATTTTATGTGTAAATTTAAAGTTTATGTGTAAACAAGAAAAATCTATTGGTTATTTTGTACTGCCTTAGTTATTTGAGATTTTGAAAGTAATCTTTAGAAATAGCTTATATAGACTGTGATAACTAAGAGTTATGAAATATTACTGTTTTGTCATGAAGGATGTCAACAGATGTATTGAGGCCTTGGATGAACTTGCCTCACTTCAGGTCACAATGCAGCAAGCTCAGAAACATACAGAGATGATCACAACACTGAAAAAAGTAAGTGATCTTGAGTAATGCAGATCTAAAAAATTTCCTCATACCACTTCATTAAAAAGTAACACTTAAAAATCATTTAGGTAAACAGTTATGAGTGTGTCTTTTGTTTTCTCAGATACGGCGATTCAAAGTTAGTCAGGTTATCATGGAAAAGTCTACCATGTTGTATAACAAGTTTAAGAACATGTTTTTGGTTGGTGAAGGAGACTCTGTGATCACACAAGTGCTGAATAAATCTCTTGCTGAACAGAGACAGCATGAGGAAGCAAATAAAACCAAAGATCAAGGGAAGAAAGGGCCAAACAAAAAGCTAGAAAAGGAACAAACAGGTATGTGGTAATTATTTGCTGGGACTGCTTTTCAAAAGTGGCTTTGATACATCTCATTATCTACATTAAATGATAGATCTCATAAAGCATTTAGAAGAACTAGTAAAGTGTTCAACCTTAGTTTCTGTCTTTCCTGTTCAAGTTTAAATAATTAATCATCAAGTTTAATTAGTAGCTAAATACTAGCTTTTAGTACTACTACCACTACTAGTAGTTGCTATTTTAATTTAAATTAGGAAAAATTTCTGACCTACACTGAAGTAGAGAAAAATGAACTTGCCATGTTCTCCTCACCCAGCTTCCATAGTCAGTATGATCAGTGTGGGATCATTTCTCTTTCATTACCCCCATCAATTTTCTTTGTGACTTGGCCATAAATATTTGAGAATATATTTGAGATAGACTCAGTACCATTATCAGCTCCCCCAATTCTACGTTATTAAACGTCTTAGGACAGCTGCTCAATGTAGAAAAAACATCTTAGTACAGCTGCTTAATGTAGAAACCAACATTCAAAAGTTGGATTGTTTCACTTATTAGGCAGAGATTTGTTAAGATATACAGGGAAGCCCCATCTTTTACTTAGTAATACGGCACGAAGTCCTGTAAATTAGGAAATACTACTACTGACACTGTTCTAGAATACCAGTAATGATAAACACAAAAGTTTACTGTGATTGCTTTTTTCCTAAAATCTACAATAAATCACAATGCTCTAAGGAGATAAACCACCTTGAAAAACTTCATGATGACAGTAACAAGTGGACTAATCAGATTATCCACTTCCTGTTCCCATAGCTTTTTGTAGTAATATGCTTCTTATGTCTTCAGCTATCCAAACGATTACAGTATAATTTCAAGTAAAAACACTGATAGCAACTTGAGGGCCATGTTTTTTGATTGTCGGTATTTTAAGGACATGTTAAAGTATTAGAAACCTAAATGGTTTTCCGTTGGAATCCTTCTAAAGGTTCAAAGACTCTAAATGGCGGGTCTGATGCCCAGGACAGTAACCAACCACAGCATAATGGAGACAGCAGTGAAGAAGGCAAAGACAGCCACGAGGCCAGCAAGAAAAAGTGAGGATATATTTTAATGGGTCGTTAATGTGTTTTTAGTTTTTAAGTCAAATTGTTGTTTGAAGGGATTATATTTTGATCACTCAGTTCCTAACCTTAGGAAGCAAGATGAAAAGCAGAAAGGGAAAAATAGAGCTAGGTAGGAATCCTGTTTAAAAAAATGACTATTCTTTGAACTTCTTTCACTGAGACACCTTTAATAATGACTTAAAGTCACACTTTCTGGACATGTGAAATTAGATGTTAGAATCACAAAAGCTGTTTTGTATTACAACACTGATCCTTAAGTAGATAGGAAACTGTAGTTACCAAGTCTTGGTTTATTCTGCTGCTGTACATTTGAAAGACTTGGAATCAAGCATCCCTTCTCATTCTGTAATTTAGGGAAATCTTGTTGTCTGTGTGTATGTTGGTATCACAGATAAAAACATTTTCATGTTCTTTACTCATACTTTAAAGCTGGAAATGATGGGATGGGCCTGGGCCATAAGCTTCCCTGAGTTATTTTGCTTGTTCCGCTTAATACTTTGGGAAGAATATTACAACATGGTAAAATAAATTTAACAACAAAAATCTTTTGTTGATTTTAAAGACGTAATGCACAGATTTCATGTCTGTCTTTTTCTACTCCTAAGGGAAAAAAGCCCCTGATCCCGGTTGTGACACCTTTGTTTCCCCCTTTCCTTTAGGCCATCCAGTGAAGAGAGAGAGACTGAAATATCTCTGAAGGATTCTACACTAGATAACTAGGTTGACATACCTGGAATACAAAGAACATTTGAGAAGTTTCTAATGGTTTTCACTTGAAATACTTAGATTGCAGAAAGTTTTACATTTTTATAAGCTTAGGTTTTGATGTTTAAAACTTGTTTTGAGGGAGAAGTAATCCCTTTATCTTTGTTTAAACATTGCTAATTGTACTTGTGCAGTATTAACAGCTACATTATACAGTAAATGTGAGGGAAAATCCACTTAGGAAATGTTAAACTGCTTTTCCAGACATTGGTTGTAGAATATTTCCAATTAGTGTGTGTGTGTTAATGTGTAATTGATAGTAGAAAAGTTACATTTTTTAAATTGCTACTTGTATAAACCTTTCCTCTATTCCCAGATACTGTGGGTTTTGTGCATAGTTTTTACAAATCTTGGATTTATCAGACTGTCTTTTCACTGTGTGGGTTTTGTAGAAGTCATACATTTTTATGATAGATAAAATGTTACTTCTATACAACTACTCTCTCCTTTTATCAAGTTAATTTTTATCTCAGTCTACATTGTGCTACATTATCCTGCTGCTTTGTAACGTGTGGTCTGTATACCTTTTTGTATGACTAGATAATCCAATGTGAACTGACAATTCTACAAGATAGAAAACTCTTGTTAACTTTTGATGGTAATTAAGTTTTTTTGGCTGGGAATTAAGTCGTAATTTTCCTGCAGAGAGCAGAATGGGGTATAATAGAGGAATGAATCTGGCTTTAGGATTCAACCACCCAAGATCTTTTGCAGGCACTAGTAGTTGAAACTGAAAACTAAAAGATAAAAGTTTATTTTCGAGAAATGTCTCAAATTTCTGAATGTTTCTAAAGTCATGCTCATTAAGGAAGTCATTAAGTATTTTTTTAATTGGAAAAAAATTCATAATGCTTATAAGGAAACCCAACTCATTTGAAAACATGGCTTGGGAATTTTTATTCCTGTATCATACATGTGATAGGACTACAAAAAGTGAAAATGTTGCTCTGAGGCAGGAGACCAAAAAAAGGAGTACTTTGACGGTCTGTGTATACAAGTATATGGACTAAATCAGGGTGAACCAAGGTTAACACAAAATTTAAGAAAAACTTAACAGATAGCATTTTTGGAATATTAGGTCAGTTGGTGGTTAAAACACTTGTGATGTTAACTGAATATGGGGAAAAATAGCTTAATACCAGTGTTTGCATGTCACATGCATTGTATGTTTTGACCTCTCAGATAATTGTTTTCATCTACAGATGAAAAGTGTGAATAACTTCCAATAATAGTTTTGCTTTTGAGAAGTCTTTGAATGGGAACTAAGACCCACTGTTTTCTATTACATTATATCTGGTACTGAGTACAATTTAAATTTGGGCAGATTTATTCTAGTTAAGCCATAAGTGTCAACATGTAAACTTGTTTTGATTAAAGGATTTTTCTATCAAACTCTTATTAGTAAATTACTTCTTTGCTATTTATCGAAGTGTGTTGGAATTCTCAATTTGCTTCCAAGGGAATGATTTCTTAGTTGGTCATAGACACTGTTGTTTGGGGAGACAGGGTAACTAAAACATATGCTCAAAATGATAAAAATAAAGTGAATATTATTTTTTGTTCACCCTCCCTTTTTTATCTGGGACTCAACAGATCTATGTAGTTTTACCAAGACACCATAGAATTTTTTATTTCTGTTGATATATGGCAGCATTCTGAAAATTGGTCTGCTTATATGGGCTGATCTCACTCTCACCAGTTGATTGATTTAATGTTTAAACACAGTTGCCTTCTCTTTCAACCCTCAAGAAATTTTCTCTTGGTCATAGATTGATGCATGCATAACCACCACTCAGAACACTTGAAAAGTCAAATAACTGTCCAGAACTTTCAGGAGCATTGGCTCACTTTAAATCGTGTATTTGTCAGAACTCCACAGCTGTGAACAAGTTAGAGAGTTCAAATGAGAACTAGCCCCCCCCCCCCCAAAAAGGAAAGAAAACCTTGTCTTTTTAAGTGTATAAACATCTATTTTGTGTTGCTTTTCAAACCACTGGATAACATTTAAAAGAGTGAGTAATGCATGACCCAACAGAATCAACTGTTAATTTTCTCTGCTGCTTTGGAGAAATTTCAGATTTACCACCTAACTGGAGAACTTGAATGGGACTTTATATGTGTAAAGAGTTTGACTGGCATATCTTAAGCCTTGTAATTGCTATTATATCTTAGTTTCAAAAAGTAGGATGATAGTTTTACTCAGTTTTTGCTGATGCACTGACTGTAGTGTACCTGTATACAATTACTTACCTGGTTGAAGATGTCAGGTCAGGGTGAGAGGGTGTCATCTAATCCTATACAAGAGCAAAAGCCTTTTTATATGGTTCACTGAGGGCTTCACTAACTTACTTTGTTCCATTGGCCAGAGAGAGGATGATGTGCAAATCCACAATTACACCTTAAGAAATGAAAAGGCTGCTGTGTAGGCAGAAATGTGCTTATTTTTGTGCTGTGTAATTCTCTCACTTTAAAGTTGAAAGACATTGCATGATTGGGAAAAGGGTCAGATTATCCTTTAAGGAACTGGAGCCTGAAAAAAGAGGTTGATGGAAATTGGTATCTTTTAGATAGTGATTTTGTAACATCCACTTCACACGTCAAAACCAAACTTCTTTTAACTACCGCAGAGAATGCTGATTAGTAAGCTAATGACAATATTTTTGTATGTTTTTTCTTCTTTAGGATATTATTAGGATATTATATGTAATGTAATAATCAAGATGTGTTTAATAGTGAATTTTCAAGATACCTTTCATGCCTATTTCAAAGCTAGAAGTTTCTTTTGACTTGAACTTAGTGGGAGACCTCTGTATAACTAACAGACAATACATTGGGAAATTCCAGAAGTAACCTGATTAGCCTTTCCTCTCTAGATTTCTCCAGGAAATAATAGAAAGAGCCTCTGTAACTAACCTTAGTGAACAAGTTCACTTTAAGAACCAGCAGAGTAATATTCTCAATAAATGGTAAAACAAGAATTTCCATAGCAATAATGTTACAAATGGCTATCTTCTTTGTCTAGTAAAATGAATAGATTGGCACTACATGTCTACATGTGGACTAATGCTTTTGCTTTGACCATTCACTTTTCTGAAACTGAAATGATAAAAATTGTTTAAGAGTAAACAAACCCTTGCATACTAGTGTAAGGCCTAATAAAGAATTCATTTTTAACTGTGGAGCTTTTAGGAACTGCATAAATCTATGAGTTTCAAACTGTTCAATTTAGTAACATTGGAAATGTGAACGTAAAAATTTAGGCAATAATAATAAAAACCTAGGTCTAGCCATGGCAGGACCTCTTACTTCTTTATACTTATCTGCTGGTGTATTAAAGTGACCAGTGAACGAGAACACTGCTAGACATACCAGAAACAGGTGCTTGTCCTCTACACACCGATCGACTACAGATACGTGGCATTAAAGTCCATAAAACATCTGTCAGCCTTTTAAACACGTAGGCTTACAGGCTTCATCAGTTTTTGATTTACATGGTAAATATCTATTCTTAGCCATCCATGTAATGTGGAATTCAGCTGAATTTAAATAAACCTAGAAGAGAGAAAGCGAAATTTATATGACACATTTAAAATGAACTACTACACAGCATTCTTGAAAGTCTTAATTAAACTTTCCACCAAAAAAGAACTCCAGAAAACAGTTCAATATAATAGTTAAAATTTTCTCTGATGATCTAGACCTTGGGATTTATCAAAGTTGCTCTTTGGCTCAGAATGAGAGAATAACTAGGATTATAGCAAGGGGGCCAGAAGAACAGAAGAGTTGGCTGGGCCAGGAAACTGTTTTTCTTTATGCATATAGAGTACTGGATATTATTGCCCAAGAATAAGTGAGCCATAGCTAGCAATCAACAGCATCTTGATTTCTTTCCCCTGTTTCAGTGGTCATACTAAATGAAATCTACCATTTAAAAAAATCCTAAATATTAAATTAGCATTCTAAACTCAAAGCATATGTGATTCAGAGAAAATTCTTGTCAAGATATGAAGCTTCAATTTAAATGTTACTTCTGTGAAGGTACAAGTATATACTTAAGACCTCTTACGTTCATCATTCATGCAGTGAGTCTAAAATGTTTAGTGTGCTTGGTTTCTATCAAAACAAAACATTACCAAAGAGCCCACTGTAAAGTTACATAATAGCTATTAATATAGTATTTATTAAATAATATTTTAATTTCTCCCTCATTTTTATTAGATATTTAAAGGGTCTTTACCTTGGAAGCTTCATGTTACAAGGTATAGATAGCTCTTACATTCTTCAAAGAATTTTCAAAATACTCCCACCATTTGATATATCATTAACTGAATTTTGCTAATGACAAATTAGCAAACCAGTCTGGACACAGAATGAATAGGGCAGGCCACAGACTGGGAGACAATTAATACATTTATCTGACAAAGGATTTACATTCAAAATACATAAAGCACTCCTACAACTTTGTAAGATAAGCAACTCACTTAAAAATGGACAAAGAGCACTAAATAAAAAGTAGGAATAAGTACTAAAGTAATTTAATTATGTTCCTAAATATTTAAATACAAGTTACTTTATAAAAAAATGTGATTGGAACTTTTGCATGGGGTGTGGGAGAACATGGTTTTAGTTGACTGCTACAGGTGGGTCCTGTTCCTCAGTGGCAGTTTGTCTTGGAAATAAAGTAACCGTCTAAGAAGAGAGTTATTTCACAAGGGTATACTTTTTGTTACTAATTAAAGGTTCCAGGATCAACATAAGGATAAGCAAGGAATTCCCCCAGTTTGTTGCCTTCTGTATCATAGTGGAGCATTCGGAAGCAAACATCACAAAAAAAACATGGATCCTCTGGTGCAAAACTGTCATTGTTTGTCACCCATCTGTAATTAAGAAAAAAAATAATATTATCAAGCTTTAACTTAAGTTGTGACTTGTAGTAGTATGTACACAACATTCTCATTATTGCCTTATTCTATCTTATAATACATTATAATCCTTTATATAATTTTATATACATATATAGATACAGACATATCACTATCAATACTCTGCAAGGCAAAATGGCAACGAACAGAAACACTGCAGAATGCTGTTTCTCTGAAAGACTACTTAAAGGTAAGTGGAGAAAAATACAAATCCATACATGAAAGCATCATACATTTGGCTGTGACATACCTGTCCTCCCCAAATAAATGTTATTATGAACATCATTTTCTTCGAATAGGCCATCTTAAAAAAATTGTAAATTAAGGTGCTATAAGGCCTGATAAACTTATGCTTAATTTATCTATCTAAATTAGTACTGTTTAATTTGAAAAATCCAGTTGTTTTACCTAGGATTTAGGATAAATATTACAGCATGTTCACAAATGGGAATATGGGCAATGTTATTCAACTGAAACATTGTTTTTTGGCCCAAGATATTACTGGTCAACAGTAAGATGAAAATGCTATTTTTCAGTCTTACCTGAATTTTGCATCTCAAGGAATGTTTTTAATATTCCCTGATTTCCATTTTAAATCTGATTACTGTTATACTTTTCCTACTGATCATTTACAAAAGCAAATTGTTGGGGGGAACCCAAAATATAAATTAATAAATTCTTCCCTTTCCCTCTGAATGGTCTTTTCACTCTGATTCATAATTGAGCAATCTAAATGTACAGAACACATAAAACAAAAATCCAATGAAAGCATATTTTGACATGAGATGCTGTTATTTTTTTCATCAAGGAGAAGCTGAGGATGAAGCTGAGTTTGTAAACTGCAAAGAAGCAGAAAGAACATGGCTCCCTGATAACATTGAGCATCGAATCAACCAAAATGAAGGCTGACCTAACCCTGGACTTGTCCTATTAGAATTAATTTCCTTATTTAAAAACAATTGTAACCTACTAAACTTATCTGCAGTACTTCCCTACTAGATAAAACCCTTTATGTTATTTATACCCCAAAGTATAAGTCATTGGATTCAAAACAGAAACGAACTCAACTACCAAAAATCCAAAGTCCTTGACTGTTGGAAATTAATTTGCTCAAGGAAAAATAGGTATCACTTACCTGGCTGTGTACATTTTACAGACAAAACATTTTCTGGTCCATAGCCAATGCTTCTTGATAAGAAGGGGATAAAGTGTCCTATCCAAGCAATCATCATGATGCACAAGCCTTTTTTGTACATGAGAAAATAAGATATTAAAGAGCAAATTTCTGTGATCTGTAAATAATAAAATTTATCAGCACTAATAATACAGTAGGTATATTTTTCTATTTTTTGCTTATGAAAGATTGAGGTATAAACTGACTCGTTAAACCAAGTTTGACCAAACTGTTCCACAAAAACAACTTTCTCCAAA